CAGTACTGTGTGTGTGTGCGTCAGGCAGTACTGTGTGTGTGTGCATCAGGCAGTACTGTGTGTGTCAGGCAGTACTGTGTGTGTCAGGCAGTACTGTGTGTGTGTGTGCGTGTCAGGCAGTACTGTGTGTGTGTGTGCGTCAGGCAGTACTGTGTGTGTGTGTGTCAGGCAGTACTGTGTGTGTCAGGCAGTACTGTGTGTGTGTGTCAGGCAGTACTGTGTGTGTGTCAGGCAGTACTGTGTGTGTTTCAGGCAGTACTGTGTGTGTGTCAGGCAGTACTGTGTGTGTGTGTGTCAGGCAGTACTGTGTGTGTGTGTGCCAGGCAGTACTGTGTGTGTGTGCGTCAGGCAGTACTGTGTGTGTGCGTGTCAGGCAGTACTGTGTGTGTGCGTCAGGCAGTACTGTGTGTGTGTGTGCGTCAGGCAGTACTGTGTGTGTCAGGCAGTACTGTGTGTGTCAGGCAGTACTGTGTGTGTGTGCGTCAGGCAGTACTGTGTGTGTGTGTGCGTGTCAGGCAGTACTGTGTGTGTGCGTCAGGCAGTACTGTGTGTGTGCGTCAGGCACTACTGTGTGTGTGCGTCAGGCAGTACTGTGTGTGTCAGGCAGTACTGTGTGTGTGTCAGGCAGTACTGTGTGTGTGTGTCAGGCAGTACTGTGTGTGTGTCAGGCAGTATTGTGTGTGTGTGTGTCAGGCAGTACTGTGTGTGTGTCAGGCAGTATTGTGTGTGTGTGTCAGGCAGTACTGTGTGTGTGTCAGGCAGTATTGTGTGTGTGTCAGGCAGTACTGTGTGTGTGTGTCAGGCAGTACTGTGTGTGTGTGTGTCAGGCAGTACTGTGTGTGTGTCAGGCAGTACTGTGTGTGTGTCAGGCAGTACTGTGTGTGTGTGTGTTAGGCAGTACTGTGTGTGTGTCAGGCAGTACTGTGTGTGTGTCAGGCAGTACTGTGTGTGTGTGTCAGGCAGTACTGTGTGTGTGTGTGTCAGGCAGTACTGTGTGTGTGTTAGGCAGTACTGTGTGTGTGTCAGGCAGTATTGTGTGTGTGTGTGTCAGGCAGTACTGTGTGTGTGTCAGGCAGTATTGTGTGTGTGTGTGTCAGGCAGTACTGTGTGTGTGTTAGGCAGTACTGTGTGTGTGTCAGGCAGTACTGTGTGTGTGTGTCAGGCAGTACTGTGTGTGTGTCAGGCAGTACTGTGTGTGTGTGTCAGGCAGTACTGTGTGTGTGTTAGGCAGTACTGTGTGTGTGTCAGGCAGTACTGTGTGTGTGTGTGAGGGGGTGCTGTGTGTGTGTGTGTCAGGCAGTACTGTGTGTGTGTTAGGCAGTACTGTGTGTGTGTCAGGCAGTATTGTGTGTGTGTGTCAGGCAGTACTGTGTGTGTGTCAGGCAGTATTGTGTGTGTGTGTGTCAGGCAGTACTGTGTGTGTGTTAGGCAGTACTGTGTGTGTGTCAGGCAGTACTGTGTGTGTGTGTCAGGCAGTACTGTGTGTGTGTCAGGCAGTACTGTGTGTGTGTGTCAGGCAGTACTGTGTGTGTGTTAGGCAGTACTGTGTGTGTGTTCAGGCAGTACTGTGTGTGTCAGGCAGTACTGTGTGTGTGTGTCAGGCAGTACTGTGTGTGTGTCAGGCAGTACTGTGTGTGTGTCAGGCAGTACTGTGTGTGTGTGTGTCAGGCAGTACTGTGTGTGTGTCAGGCAGTATTGTGTGTGTGTGTGTGTCAGGCAGTACTGTGTGTGTGTAAGGCAGTATTGTGTGTGTGTGTCAGGCAGTACTGTGTGTGTGTCAGGCAGTACTGTGTGTGTGTGTCAGGCAGTACTGTGTGTGTGTGTCAGGCAGTACTGTGTGTGTGTCAGGCAGTACTGTGTGTGTGTCAGGCAGTACCGTCTGTGTCGCAGTGTTTAAGGTCGACTCGGCCTCAAATGAGTACCTGGTGCGGTGTGCAAACATCGCCACTGGGGAGGCATAGAAATCACAACTCAAATTGATCGTTAGCGTCGTGTGAGAGGATGTAAATAACAAACAGCTAAGCGTACAACAATACGAATACACACATCCACGTCTCCACAAGGCACCCACGGGCGCCACGGCCTTCGCGGAGTGCATGGTGTGGGCAGCCCCGACTGCTGTGCCGCGTGTCGCCGTGCCGTGCCTCGTCGTCGTCGCGCGTGAACCAGCGCTGGCGACGTGCCGGACACACACGACGCTCAGAGCCACTCTCTCTCTCCACATCGTGGGACTTTTATTAATGTATCATGTATTTATTTTAATTCATACATTTTTGCGTCGATCATTTTCGTATCAAAAAAAGCTCCGCGTGAATATGCCGGCTCTGGTCAAGATGCAGAGCGAGCCGCAAGGCCGCACTCACAGTATTATACTGTAATATACAGCACGAACGCCATCGTAGCCGACGACGTTAATAGTCATCGCTGCCGCCGTCGCCACCGTCAACTCCGCGCCGCGTTCACGCCGCGAGCGCCGCGTTCTCCTCTCTCCCACACACGTTTTGGTTTTCGTGTAAAAAAAACAAAAATCGGCTCCTGCTGTCACCCATCCACCCCCCCAACCCACCCCACATCCTCCCCAACAACCGCCGTTCACCACGGCGTGGAGGCCACGTGAAGTGTCGAGGGCTCGCTGGTGTCAGGAGGTCACGGGACAGACCCGGGTGCCGTATGGGTTGACGGAGATGACAGACAGATGCACCCACCACCACCACCACCCATCGCCGTCATCGTTTGTAAATACTCCATGTTACCGGTGTCACCGAGCAGTCCTCTCCTCCTCCTCCGGTGTCCGAGAGGCTGCATCACCGTCGCTCCGCACACAATCGCAGACCCCGGGGATGAAGAACATCGCCGAACTCCCACCCCCCCCCCCCCCCCGCCATTGTACCCAGTCTTCCAAACAATGCCGGCTGCTACCTACTGGAACCACCCGGTCAAGATTCTGGAAAAAAACATCGATGATTGTGCAGCTGCTGCTGGTTCTGCGACTGCCAGCTCCACGTTCAGCATTAGTCGTGGAATCCGGGGGGGGGGGGTTAGGGGGGCATTGCATGAGGGCAGTCGCCCCCAAATTATTTTCATTCATGTGCCCCTCTCTCCCAAGTTCTTCCCGCCTCCCCACCCCACCCACCTTTGTTAGGATGAACATATCAGTCTGTCCAGTGACACGCATCCATATCCAGCAGAAGCAGGTAAAGGGGTCGAGGTGGGATCTCTAACCGTCGGTCCTGGCTCCGGAGGGACCATTCAACATTCAACGTCATGGACAGAAGGAGGAACTACATTCTGGAGACGTCGGTCCAGGTCCAGGATATTTGGGTTGAGAGTTTTGGGAGCCAGCAGCTGATTCAACTGAACACGCAAGCCAGAGCAATCTACAGCTGCTCAAATGAGCATTCGGGCATTATACCCATCTCCCGTCTACAGCAGCCCTCAGCCAGCGGCGAAGTGGGATAATTCCACGTTACTATGGCGGGGGTAAGTCTATCCATAGGACAAATGCTGTTAATCTCCCCTCAAGTGGTGCAGTGTCAATTTCATTGACCCTGGAGGGATGATGGGGCAAGTCAACCCCCAATCACCGCGAAGCCGCGTGGCCAGTTGCGGGGACCGCTCCCGAGTTCCCGAGCCTCTGCCCCCGCGTCGTCCGCCAGCGCCAGCCGGCGGCGTCTCCCCGGCCCAGGGGTGCGCCGGCCCGTGCCGCTGGCGCGACGCGCACCGGCGCTTCGTAGCGGCGCGCCGGGTCGCCGCGTTTCGCTCTCATTAGCCCGGGGACGCGCGGGTCACCACGTCACACCGCCTTCTCCCCCCCCCCACCTCTCCCTGTCCCCACCTCGCTTTTAAACGACTAAACCATTTAAATTAAGAAACGTAAAGGCAGTGAAAACAACGATAACGAGACAGTCCGGTCGACCCGCCCTCGACTTTTTTCTGTCGCTCGGGAAAGCGACGCAAAGCAAAGCGCCGGTGGAGCGAGGCCAGAGCGCCCGTGGCGGCCGCCTCTCTGCACGGCCGTCAGACGGCCTCGCCGGGACGCCTCTTGTTTCGCTCAAACGAGAAGCGTAACTTTTACTCTGCGGCGTCTGTGGGCGGTGGATTCGCCTGCCTACGAGATGGCGTGGAAATAATTCGGATTACGTAATTTTTTGTTTACAACATATAAATGGGGGAAAAAATCGAGAGCAAATCATCGGGGCAGCGGCGGCGATGGCCTCCGCGAAATGTGGAGCTGAGCATTTTGTTTTATTCGAGTCGAGCTTCGTGCTCCGATGATGAGAAAGATCCTGTCCGGGTTTTTTTTTTGGGTGAGGGGGAATTGCAGTAACCCAGAAAAAAATCCGGAGTAAGATCGTTCATTTACCAACAACAACCACCGCACTGCCCCCCCCCACCTTTACACGACCGTGGCTGCCCCCTACCCCTGCTCAAACAGCAGGGGTGTGAATGGTGACCTCAAGCACTTGCAGAGAGACGCGAAATGGGAAACGAAAACTAAATTTAAAAAAGTAAAATTCGTTTAAAAAATAAAAGTGCATATCACGTGCAACACACACGCACGCACACAGTGCCCCATGTGTCCGCATCGCACTGGGTACCGATGTACCCCTCTCACCCGCCCCCCCACCACTCCCTCGCATACACAAGGCCCCCATACGTGCGTTCCCCCCACCCCCCCCCCCCCGTCGATAAAAGGGGCCCTCCTGGTGATCGTCTCTGTGATAAAGGGGACCCCTCTAAAAGAAAGGGGCCCCCTAATAAGCGGGACCCCGTTAGATAAATGGAACCCAATTCAGGGGGGGGGGGCTTGTTGTGATACAGGAGATCCTCAAATTGACAAGGAGGACCCTGCAACTTGATAAAGAGGACCCCCTCTAAACAAATGGAACCTCCTGGTGCGAGATGGGACCCTGGGTTGGTATCGAGGACTCCTCCATATAAAGGACCCTCTGGAGACTTCGCGCAAAGGGGACTCCCCCCCCCGCCGCCCCCCCCCTCACATCTTGCTTTCCCTCAGCATCTCGAGCTCGATGGCATTGCCGTTGGGGGCGCCCCCCTTGGCGTGGTGCTCCCCGATGAGGGTGTCGAGGGCCCCGTTGTCAGGGGGCCCCGCGGCCGCCAGGGCCGCGCGGCGGTGCCGCTCCACGTGCGGGCCCAGCACCGGCGTGGTGAGGTGGCGCCAGCGCTGGGGGGGGGGGGCACGGAGACGACACGGACCATACACAGGTGAGTGTACGTGCGTGTACCCAGGTGAGTGGTGTGTGCGTGTACCCAGGTGAGTGGTGTGTGCGTGTACCCAGACGAGTGGTGTGTGTACCCAGGTGAGTGGTGTGTGCGTGTACCCAGGTGAGTGGTGTGTGCGTGTACCCAGACGAGTGGTGTGTGCGTGTACCCAGACGAGTGGTGTGTGTACCCAGGTGAGTGGTGTGTGCGTGTACCCAGGTGAGTGGTGTGTGCGTGTACCCAGGTGAGTGGTGTGTGCGTGTACCCAGGTGAGTGGTGTGTGCGTGTACCCAGGTGAGTGGTGTGTGCGTGTACCCAGGTGAGTGGTGTGTGCGTGTACCCAGGTGAGTGGTGTGTGCGTGTACCCAGGTGAGTGGTGTGTGCGTGTACCCAGGTGAGTGGTGTGTGCGTGTACCCAGGCGAGTGGTGTGTACGTGTACCCAGGTGAGTGGTGTGTGCGTGTACCAGGTGAGTGGTGTATGCGTGTACCCAGGTGAGTGGTGTGTGCGTGTACCAGGTGAGTGGTGTGTGCGTGTACCCAGACGAGTGGTGTGTACGTGTACCCAGGTGAGTGGTGTGTGCGTGTACCCAGGCGAGTGGTGTGTACGTGTACCCAGGTGAGTGGTGTGTGCATGTACCCAGACGAGTAGTGTGTGCTGTACCCAGGTGAGCGTGTGTGCGTGTACCCAGGTGAGTGGTGTGTGCGTGTACCCACGTGAGTGGTGTGTGCGTGTACCCAGGCGAGTGGTGTGTGCGTGTACCCAGGCGAGTGGTGTGTGCGTGTACCCAGGTGAGTGGTGTGTGCGTGTACCCAGGCGAGTGGTGTGTGCGTGTACCCAGGCAAGTGGTGTGTGCGTGTACCCAGGTGAGTGGTGTGTGCGTGTACCCAGACGAGTGGTGCGTGTACCCAGGCGAGTGGTGTGTGCGTGTACCCAGACAAGTGGTGTGTGCGTGTACCCAGGCGAGTGGTGTGTGCGTGTACCCAGGTGAGTGGTGTGTGCGTGTACCAGGTGAGTGGTGTGTGCATGTACCCAGACGAGTAGTGTGTGCTGTACCCAGGGGAGCGTGTGTGCGTGTACCCAGGTGAGTGGTGTGTGCGTGTACCCACGTGAGTGGTGTGTGCGTGTACCCAGGCGAGTGGTGTGTACGTGTACCCAGGCGAGTGGTGTGTGCGTGTACCCAGGCGAGTGGTGTGTGCGTGTACCCAGGTGAGTGGTGTGTGCGTGTACCCAGGCGAGTGGTGTGTGCGTGTACCCAGGCAAGTGGTGTGTGCGTGTACCCAGGTGAGTGGTGTGTGCGTGTACCCAGACGAGTGGTGCGTGTACCCAGGCGAGTGGTGTGTGCGTGTACCCAGACAAGTGGTGTGTGCGTGTACCCAGGCGAGTGGTGTGTGCGTGTACCCAGGTGAGTGGTGTGTGCGTGTACCAGGTGAGTGGTGTGTGCGTGTACCCAGACGAGTGGTGTGTACGTGTACCCAGGTGAGTGGTGTGTGCGTGTACCAGGTGAGTGGTGTATGCGTGTACCCAGGTGAGTGGTGTGTGCGTGTACCAGGTGAGTGGTGTGTGCGTGTACCCAGACAAGTGGTGTGTGCGTGTACCCAGGCGAGTGGTGTGTGCGTGTGCCCAGGCGAGTGGTGTGTGCGTGTACCCAGACGAGTGGTGTGTGCGTGTACCCAGGTGAGTGGTGTGTGCGTGTACTCAGACGATTGGTGTGTGCGTGTACCCAGACGAGTGGTGTGTGCGTGTACCAGGTGAGCGTGCGTGCGTGTACCCAGGCGAGTGGTGTGTGCGTGTACCCACGTGAGTGGTGTGTGCGTGTACCCAGGCGAGTGGTGTGTGCGTGTACCCACGTGAGTGGTGTGTGCGTGTACCCAGGTGAGTGGTGTGTGCGTGTACCCAGACGAGTGGTGTGTGCGTGTACCAGGTGAGCGTGCGTGCGTGTACCCAGGCGAGTGGTGTGTGCGTGTACCAGGTGAGCGTGCGTGCGTGTACCCAGGCGAGTGGTGTGTGCGTGTACCCAGACGAGTGGTGTGTGCGTGTACCAGGTGAGCGTGCGTGCGTGTACCCAGGCGAGTGGTGTGTGCGTGTACTCGGCTGTACCTGCTTCAGCGTGCCCTTGCCACGCGCCACGAGCAGGTAGAGGAGGGTGAGGGGCAGGCACAGCATGGAGGAGAGGGAGAGCAGCCAGCCCAGTGCCTCACCCCACCACGGGTACACGTAGACCTTGTTGTACGTGGGGCCCTTGTACTGAATCAGCTGGAACAGCAGCATGCCCTGCGCGAGGGTCCCCGAGGAGGAAGCAGCGCAGGGGTTAGGAGGTCGGAGGTCACCGGCAGGCAGGGCACCGTGGGGCGCGGTTGGGGGGGGGGTCGTGGATGCAGGGAAAGGTTCGTGGCGAGCGGTTGATGGGCCTCGAGCGCGTGGCGTGGAGAGTGCGGCGTGGGCGGTGAACTACTCGCTCGCTCGTCACATCGCTCACCCACTCGACCGCCTACTCAACTGCAAACTCACCACATCTCTCACTCACCAAAACCACCTTCTCGCCACATTATTCACTCACCCACCCACCTTCACACCATAATTCGCCACGCAATAACGTGAGCGTGGTAAGGCGAACGTCGTGGTCAGCCGGTATAGTGTAGTGTGCCGAGTGCGGTGAGCAATGTGCTCACCATGCACAGTGTGGGAGTGATGAATTTCCAACACCACCCAATCCACCAGTTGGGCCGATACCCAATCATGAGCACCACATCCTCCATGAAGCGGGAGCTACCTGCAAAACAAAGACAAAGATCACCCCGTGTAGCCTTAACACACTGTTGAGGCAAGTGCTGCTAGCAAGGAGCACCTATGAAGGCCGGCACAGCACACAAGGGGGTGGGTGGCCAGCACCACTCCCGGCCGCCTTTTTCTCCCTCGTAGCGATGTTTACACATTGCACCAGGTACTCATTTAAGGCTGAGTGAACCTAGGAGAGGGACAGGATAGGTTCAGATAATCGTCACTAATGTTGGCAGTGAGCAGGGATCCAACTCGGGTCACTGGGTTTACCGCACAGGGCGCTCATCGCTGTGCTACCGCTCCCCATGTGTGTATATGTGTGTACACACACATGTACACACATGTACACACATGTACACACACACACAGGTGCACGCACACACATGTACACACAGTCCCATCGGTGAGCTCCTCCAGCAAGCGAAGCTGCATTTGCTGGGTCATGTAGCCCACATGCCCAGCTTTTCTTTTTGGCTGGACAGAGGGGACTAAACGGGCATGCCACGGGCTGGAGAAGAGATATACTGATGTGGTACAGAAGGATGTGGAGCCGATTGGACTTGCCGATGACTGGTACCAGCGGTGTCAAGATCGGCCTCTGTAGAGGAGGCTCGTGAAGGATGCTACTGGGGAGCTGGAGGCAGTCGCCCTCCAGCAACAACGGAGGGCAGAGGAGCGACGCTCATGATCAGCAGAGCGCCGGGCGGCTAAAACGCAGAAAGTTAGCACAGTAGGGGACACAGGTTGTGCATCTGCCAGTCATCTCAGTCAGAAAACCCATCGCATCCGGCTTTGTCCCCCCATGACCTCCTGCCACCGAGCCTTCTCCACTTCGCGTGGCCTAAAAGTGCATCTAGCCTGGCACAAGCGCTGTCTCTATGTGTGACAAATGGCGGTTATTGTTGTTGTGTGTAGACATCTCTGAAAAATAGCTTCATAGCTCATCGGAATCCTCCAGTCTAAATAGCGGTGTGCGCGTCTGTATAGATTTTTGTGTGTGTATGTGTGTACGCGTGTAGGTGTGTGCGCTTGTAGGTGTGTGTGTGTAGGTGTGCGTGGACATCGGTGAAAAATAGCTTCATAGCTCATCGGATTCCTCCAGTCCAAATAAACATCTGATTCTGTGCGTATAGGTGTTTGTGTTTCTGAGGATGTGTGCATCTGTTTAGGTGTGTGTGTGTGTATGTTGATGTGCGTGTAGGCATCTCTGCATGTGGGGAGCGGTAGTGTAGCGGTTAGCGCGCTGTGCTATGAACCCGGCGACCCGTGTTCCATTCCCGCTCATGGCCAACACCAGTGACGATTATTTGAACCGGTCCTGGGCCTCCCCTAGGTCGACTCAGCCTAAAATGAGTACCTGGTGTGGTGTGTAAACATCACCACTGGGGAGACAAAGGCGGTCGGGCGTGGTGCTGGCCACCCACCCCCTCGTGCAGCGTTCTGGCCTTCATAGGTGCTCGATAACAGCACTTGCCCCAACAGTCTGTTCAGGCTATACAGGGGATCTTTGTCTTTGTGTGTGCATGTGTAAGTGTGCGTGTGTGCATGCAAGTGCGTGTGCAGGTGTATGTGTGTGCGCGCGTTGTACCGTAGACCCACGCCACCACGATGCACTGCCACCCGACCTGCCACAGCAGGGTGTAGCCGCTCACTGCGTAGTTGTCAAACAGCTGGAAGATGTAGATTCCTCCCTGGGGGTGGCGGCAGCACAGCGCTACATTAACGACCCCCGCCGTCACCCCCATTCAAAATCACGAACAATGCCGACCACAGAGCACGTAGGGTGGGCGATGGTGTTTACGGTGACTGCTGCTGCTGCATCTGCTGATGCAGCTGATGATGATGGTGTTGGTGATGCCCTTGATGATGTTTGATGCCGACAAAAGCAAAGCTACTGTGGACAATGCCAGTGGTGATATCTTGTTACCACTGCTGCTGAAGGTGCCTCTGCCGTGCGTGATGACAATGATGCTACTGAAAATGGTTATAATTTAGCATATTTGGCATTGCCCCACTGGTTCTTAAAGCGCAAGGCTATTGTTGCGTGTCCCAGACGCAGTCTGGAGTCGTTTCGCAGCGGGGGATGCTGCTGCTGTGTGTGGAGTCCCGTTTGAGTGATTTGCAGAGTAATTTTTCAATATTGGCCACATTTGGGATGGTGACGCCAACACAAGATCACCTTCTCCCTCATTTCGACTGACATCGTGGGGACGGCGCTTCGTAGTTATTTTACGGTCGGCGCCTCAGAGTTAACCAGGGCGGCCTGGCGGATTCGAACCGCGAACCTCTCTGCGACGACGAGCAGCGAGCGCGGATGGCGCAGGGCCATGCGACACCAATCCCGAGCCAAGCGTCGCTCACGACGCTTGGCTCGTGAGCGACACGGAATGCGGAACCCGTTTGGAGCTCCCGCGGGTCAGCGCAGCCGTTCCTCTGAGAATACGGCCCGCGGAAGTGGATGTCGCAGAACTACGTCCGGTGACGCTTCACGCGGTGCGGAGCAGCGCTTCTCTTCCCCCCCACCCGTCACCCCCGGGGGCGAGGGGGGGTGGGACGTCGCCACGGCGACGGACGAACCTGCATGACCATGACAAAGCTGACGAGGAACTTGACGATGCAGCAGGCGGCGACGAAGAGCTCGCGCCTCCCGCGGCCTCGCAGCACCGTGGGGAAGATGTCCGAGATGCCTGTCACGAACCCCTCGATCGCCACGAACTGCGAGCGCGGGGGGCACACACGCGGCGCATGGGTCACGCACGGGCGCACGCACGGGTCACGCACGGGTCACGCACGCGCGCACGTCGGGACGTGTCCGGGAGCGGGCAAGCAGGTAGGCAACCGGGCTCGGTTTGGGTGAAGTACGGGCGGGCGGGGCGGGGGGGCGTGGGCGGACCTGGCTGTCGAGGCCGAGCAGCAGCAGCATGACGAAGAAGAGGACGGCCCAAAGCACCGGCACCGGCATCATGGTGACGGCGCGAGGGTACGCGATGAATGCCAGCCCAGGACCTGCAGTACACATACGTAGAGTACGCACGTACATAGAGTACACATACGTAGAGTACGCACATATGTAGAGTACGCACATACGTAGAGTACACACATACATAAAGTACACACATACGTAGAGTACGCACATATGTAGAGTACGCACATACGTAGAGTACACACATACGTAGAGTACGCACATACGTAGAGTACGCACGTACGTAGAGTACGAACATACATAGAGTACACACATACGTAGAGTACACACATACGTAGAGTACACACATACATAGAGTACACATACGTAGAGTACACACATACGTAGAGTACACACACATAGAGTACACACATACGTAGAGTACACACACATAGAGTACACACATACGTAGAGTACGCACGTACACGGAACAAAGATCCCCTGTCTAGTCTGAACAGACTGTTGGTGCTGTTAGCGAGCACCTACGAAGGCAGGCACGGTACACGAGGGCGTGGGTGGCCAGAAACCACGACCGGCTGCCTTTGTCTCCCTAGTGGCGATGTTTACACATCGTGCCAGGTACTCATTTGAGGCAGAGTCCACCTAGCGGAGGCCCAGGGCCGGTTCAGATCATTGTCACCGGTGTTGACCGTGAGCGGGAATCGAACTCGGGTTGCCGCATGGTGACGGCGCGCGGGTACGCGACGAATCAGCCCGGGGCCTAGCGTACAGGGAGAACAATACCCCATATAGCGCTGTTAGGGAGGTGATAATGGCGGCAATGAAAATGATGACGATGGCAGTGATGGTGACGATGATGGGCATGGCGGCGGTGAAGGTGACGATGGCGATGATGAGAATGATGATGGTGGTGATGGTGATATTGATGGCGGTGTTGGTGATTATGGTGATGACGACGATGATGACAACTGTGGCGATAACGACAACGATGATGATGGCAATGTTGCCGGCGGTGATGCGGCACTCACCGGACTCTGCGACCATGTCGATGGGCACGCCCTGCTCGTGCGCCATGAAGCCCAGGATGGAGAAGACCACGAAGCCGGCAAAGAGGCTCGTGCCAGAGTTGATGAGCGCCAGCACGTACGTGTCCCTAATGAGGAAGTGGAGGCGTGTTATCGAGCGAACGCGCGCGCGCACACACGCATCCCTCCTGTCGCCCAAAGAGACTGTAGGGGCAAGTGCTGCGAGGGAGTCTCTGTGAAGGCGAGTGCGGCGCACGCTGGGCTGGGTGGGCAGGCAGCACCACGACCGCTTTGGTCTCCTCAATGGCGATGTTGGTACACTGCACCAGGGACTCATTTGGTGTCAAGTCGATCTTGGGGAGGCCCACAACCGGTTCAGATAATCGTCACTAATCTTGGCCGTGAGCGGGAATCAAACTCGGGTCGCTGGGTTCGTAGCGCGGCGCACGAACCGTTGCACTTCCACATTACGCATACACAAAGACAAAGATTCCCCATGTAGCCTTAACAGACTGTTGGGGCAAGTGGTGTTAGTGAGCACCTATGAAGGCCGGCACGGTACACGAGGAAGAAGGTGGCCAGCACCATGCCCGGCGTACACACACGCACACACATGCGTGCACACGCACACGCACCTGAGGCAGTTGTTATGGAAGCGGTTGTAACTGCCGAGGGTGGACAGGGCTCCGAAACCAAGCGCGTACGAGTAGAACGTCTGTGTGCCGGCATCCAGCCACACCTACGGGGTCAGCCACACCACACATACACACACACACACGTGCATTAACACACACGTGCATTAACACACACCCATAGATACACAAACAGGTCCAGCCATACTTACATGGTCAGCCACATAAACATCAGCCACCATTCGCCACTAAGTGTCAGTGACGTCCCCACAGCGCTTGTGCCATGCTAGGTGTACTTTAAGGCCACGTAAAGTGTTTAAGGCTTACTGGCAGGTCACGGGACAGACCCAGGTGCCATGGGTTGACTGAGATGACTGGCAGATGCACCACCTGTGCCCCCTACGGTGCCAACTTCCTGTGTTTTAGACGCCCAGTGCTCCACTTTTAGAACATTGCTCCTCTGCCCTCCGTTGTTGCTGAAGGGCGACTGCCTCCAACTGCCCAGAAGCATTCTTTATGAGCCTCCTCCACAGAGGCCGATCAGTGCAAGTCCACTCAGCTCCACTTCCTCCTTTACCACATCAGCCCATCTCTTCTCTAGACCGTGCCGTGCCCATTTTGCCCCCTCTATCCGGCCAAATAGAAGCTGCTTGAACATGTGGACTGCATGACCCAGCCAATGCACCTTTGCCTGTAGGAGGAGTTCACTGATGATGGGACTGTGTCCAGATCTCAAGGATCTATGAGCATCTCACACAACCCAGCCTGGTTAAAGCCTGGTTAAACCCAAGATGGATCGTAGGCAGGCCAGCCCGAATGTTTAAAACCGGCGATCTTCCTTTAGAGGGGTCCACGTTTCACAAACGTAATGAAGGGAGGGCAAAACTGTAGCTGAGAAAACCTGAAGATTCGTAAGGAGCAACAGAAACAGGCAGATTCCACACGGCATCGTTACGCAGCTGACGAAAGATAATGCCGTTCGACTGATTCGGAGCGAGACCTCCGCCGCCAAAGCGGAGGCGGCCGTGCGCGCACTGCACCCAAGAACTCGTCCCAACTCTCCCCACGAAGTGTCTCGCTCGCAAGTGAAGAGCAGAGGCAGGGCTGGAAGGTGTGGTGCGCTGGTGAGAGGGGCGCTATCAAGACGACGACATCGTCGCGATGCGTAGTGGGGTCGCGACACCGCCACTCGCCTGTGGCGTGGCGAGCTTCTTCCAGTCAGCCTGCAGGTAGTACTTGATGCCACCCATGGCGCCGGGCAAGGTGACGCCGCGCGCAAACAGCGCGATCAGCATCAGGTAGCGGAACGTGGACGTGAAGTACACGACCTGCACGCGCGCGGGTACAACACGGGTACAAAGACAAAGACCCCCCCCCCCACCGTTTAGCCTTTAACAGACTGTTGGGGCAAGTGCTGTTAGCGAGCATGGCGCACGAGAGGGTGGGTGGCCAGCACCACACCGGGCCGCTTTTATCTTCCCAGTGCGGATGTTTTACACCTGGTACTCATTTAAGGCCAATCCATCTAGGGGAGTCCTAGGGACCGGTTAAGATAATCGTCACTGATGTTGGCCGTGAGCAGGAATCAAACTCGGGTCACCAGGTTCGTAGTGCAGCGCGCTAACCCCTACACTACTGCTCCCAACAAGCAACAACAACAACCGCCATTCGCCACTAAGTGGTGGTGACGTCACCACGACGCTTGTGCCAGGCCATGTGCACCTTGAGGCCACGTGAAATGTCGAACGCCCGCTGGCAGGAGGTCACGGGGCAGACATAGCAGGTGCCATGGGTCGACTGACTGAGATGACAGAGATGATTGGCTGATGCACCACCTGTGCCCCCTACTGTGCCAACTTGTTGTGTTTTTTAGCCACCCGGCGCTCTGCTCGTTGTTGTGAGCGTCGCTCCTCCGCCCTCTGTTGTTGTTGGAGGGCGACTGCCTCCAACTGCCCAGTAGCGTCCTTCATGAGCCTCTTCCACAGAGGCCGATCTTGACACCGCTGGTATCAGTCATCGGCAAGTCCACTCAGCTCCACGTCCTCCTGTACCATATGACTCCATCTCTTCTCTAACCCGTGCCGCGCCAGTTTAGCCCCCTCTATCCAGCCGAACAAAAGCTGTTTCGGCATGCAGTGGCTGGACATGCGGGCTACATGACCCAGCCAACGCAGCCTTGCCTGCCGGAGGAGCTCACCGATGGGACTTTGCCCAGATCTTTCAAGGATTTGTGAGCTCCTCACACAATCCAGCCTGGTTAAACCCAGGATGGATCGTAGGCAGGCCAGCCTAATTGTTTCTAACCGGCGAAAGATGCTCCATTAGGGAGGTCCACGTGTCGCAAGCGTTACGCAACCGATGAAAAGATATTGCCGCTCGACTGATTCGGAGTTAGACCTCTGCTGTTAAACTGGAGCCGGTCATAAGCACACTTCCCATCACCGATTGGGAGTTGTGGGGGTGGAGTGTCCGATGGTACAAAATACCCAGGCAGGTGCTTAGTTTTGGTGGGGCTGATGGTTAAGGCCCCACCTCTTAGTGGCACGCTCCAGTTTCAGTAGCAGCGTCCCAACAAGCGCACACCCACACACACGCACGTGGGTATTTGTGGAGTTGCCAAAGAGACACGGAGTGCGGCGTGCGGCGTGCGGCGTGTGTGCCGCGGTGCCGTGTTTAGTGTGTGTGTGGCGGTGCATTGGGTAGTGTACTCAGTATAGTGTTGTCACGGTGATCCCGTGTGGCAGTGGTGTGGCAGTGGTGTGGTGGTAGTGTGGCAGTAGTGGTGATCCGGTGGTGTGGCAGTGGTGTGGTGGTGATGTGGTGGTGGTGTTGCGGTGGTGGTGCGGCGGTGGTATGGTTGGGGCGGTGTGGTGGGGGTGGTGTGGCACTGATATGGTGGTGATGTGGTGGTGGTGGTGTGGCGGGGTGGTGTGGTGGTGTGGTGGTGTGGTGGTGTGGTGGTGCTGGGGTGGCACTGATGTGGTGGTGATGTGGCTGTGGTGGTGTGGTGAGGGTGGTGTGGCACTGATGTGGTGGTGGTGATGTGGTGGACTGCACCTTTCCCGTGCTGCGAACGCCCTTCCACACACAGAAGTAGACGACGAGCCAGGAGGCGATGAGGCACAGCAGCATCTCCCAGTGCACGGAGCCCAAGTCGTGCAGGCCCGTCGTCATGGACAGCACCTTACGCCTACGCACGCACGCACGCGCACGGACGGTGTTTTAATTTGTATTCTTGAGAATATTTCACCTGGGAAATGTACGTGGGGTACATGAGGGGGTGTCTGGCCAGCTGGATGCCCGGCCGCCTTTGTCTCCCCAATGCTGATGTTTACAGGCCGATCCAGGTACTCGAAGTCCTAGGACCTGTTCAGGTACTCAGAGGCCTCGGACTGGTTCAAATATTCCCCACGATTGATCTTGAGTGGGAATCGAACTCAAAATGCCAGGTTCATAGCGCAGTGGGCTAACCACTGCACCACCACTCCAAAGACAAAAACAAACATCCCCCGTACAATGTGGCCTGAACAGACTGTTGGGGCAAGTGCTGTTAGCGAGCACCTATGAAGGCCATCACAGCACACGAGGGGGTGGGTGGCCAACACCACGCCTGGTCGCCTTTGTCTCCTCAGTGGCGATGTTAACACATAGCACCAAGTACTCATTTGAGGCCGAGTCGACCTAGGAGAGGCCCAGGACTGGTTCAAATAATCGTCACTGGTGTTGACCGTCAGCAGGAATCGAACCCCGGTCGCCGGGTTCGCCGCGTAACATGCTAACCACTGCACTACCCCTCCGGACACGCGCGTGTACACACCAACGCACATGTACACACGCACGCCCACATCCCCCCCCAGCGCAGCACTCACTCCCAGAACTCCACGACGGACGAGGTGGTGACGACGTTGAGCGGTGGGCACGCGTGCCCCAGGGCCGACACGTTGCTCAGCGGCAGCAGCAGCGACGACTCCGACGTGGCATTCGTCAGCGCCGGCCACGCCGTCGACCATGCCGTTCCATTCAGAAACCCGGGTCCTGCCGTCCCATTGAGTGACCCCTCCGTGCCGTTGGCGTCCGCCGACGGGTACTGGCAGGTGCCGTCTGAGCAGAGCTTGGTGTTCCACTTGTTGCCGCAGGTAGCCCAGGGCAACGGCCCCATGGTGAAGCAATGGGCCAGGTAGTAAAGCGCCCAGGCGAGGATCAGGATGTAGTAGCAGTTGCAGTAGAAGACGATGACCATGGAGGCGTAGCCCAGGCCTAGGCATGAACGCAGGCCGGGACAAATGGAACGGGACTCAACAACGCACACCCAGAGGTTTGCGGGGTCATCAGCCATGGGTGGCGGCAGTCAATTGTGCCATTAGTCAAGGTCGAGGTGGCGGTCAAGGTGTCATCGGTCAGGAGGGGCGGTAGTTGATAGGGGGTGCAGCACCTTTGAAGATCGGCGCGATGCCCCAGGCACCGATGCCGCCCTGCTTGGTGAACTGTCCCAGCGACACCTCCATGAAGAAGCAGGGGATCCCCGCAGCGATGAGCGTCAGGCAGTAGGGGATGAGGAACACCCCTGTGGCGGAGGAAGGAGTGGGTGAGGCGGGGGGGCACACTATTGAGGGGGACCGGACACCCAGATCCGGCGAGAGGGGGTGACCAGATTCGAGTTTCAGAAGGAGGCCGCACACGAGATGCACGAGGGGTTAGAGGTGGAAGGACGGGTGGGCTGGCATGACCTTCTGCCCTAACCCTGAAACAGACCCAGACCCTGACTCAAACCTCGACCCAGGCCCAGAGCCTAACCCAGACCCAGACCCTTGCCCCAGCCTCTAAACCAGAACCTGACGTAGATCCTAACCCCGACCCTATTACTGACCCTGATCCAGACCCTAACCCTGACCCTATTACTGACCCTGATCCAGACCTTAACCCTGACCCTATTACTGACCCTGATCCAGACCTTAACCCTGACCCAGGCCCTAACTTTAACAGTGATGAGGGCAAATGATCATTCATCGCCATGGAGACTGATGGTACAGGAGGTAATAATGGCGACCAACCGCACGGAGGGCAATCCTGGAAAGTGAATCTATTTCTATAACCTAAACTATTTTTTATTTTACAAGGTAAAGCCCACTGAGCTATGATAATAGGGTTTTCCCCTTTTTTCTGGCAACAAAACAGGTGTTAAGATGTTAAAACACCAAATTGAAACTTTTTCCAAGGAATCATGTCTGCATTAATCACACAATACTTGTGATCCCACCGAGCTACATAGCTATTTTTGAGAAGTGACCTGGTAGCAAATGATAGCTCAATTAAGTGGCTTATCATGTGGAAATGTAGTGCAGGCAAATGCTTTAAATGCATGTTCATTATAAATGTGGAGGGAAAAACGGAGGACCCAGAGTAAAGTCCACGCAACCACGGGGGGAACATGCAAACTCCAAATATACAGCAGCAGGCGTCAGGGTCGGGATCGAACCCACGACCTCCTTTAAACAGGGACCCAGATTAATGGTAGCATTGACTCACTGCATTTCATCTGCTAAACACCAATCAGACCCCTATTTGGAGGTCTCATAGAGGGGCCACTCTCCCCATTGCCCAACCCCCCACCAATGGCTCTACCACTTATAGGTGCAGGTAGTGGGGAACAAACAAAGGGGTCCAAGACTGGGGTTGTTGGGGTGGGAGGTCGCATCGGTGGTACTCACACTGGGGTCTCCACCCCCTATCTGCCTATCCCCCCCCCCCTGGGGCCCTCCCCCCCCCCACCCACCAGCATACCCCCCCCCCCGCCCCCCAACAAACGCTATGCTCAGCGACACTCGCGACCTCTGTGCCTCACCTGGGAGGGGGGGGGGTCACTTTTCAGGTCACTAGGTCAAAGTGCAAGCTCACAAAGCTCCCAAGACCTGCGGCAGGGAGGGGTTGGCGAAGGGGCGGGGAAAGAGGGCGGGGGAGGTGGGCGGAGGAGTTGGGGGCCGTTCCACAGATTTGCATGCTGGGTAATCACTTTTAATTGAATTGCATCTGCGTCAATAGAGTAATCGCCCCCCCCCCCACGACCCACATCCTGTTCCAGCATAAGCCAGGCCCCCCTTTTTTCTCCCACCACACGCATCTACCCCCCTTGAAACAAACAGAGGAGGCCGGGTGGCTCAGAGGTCAGAGACGCTAAGCAGGCACAGCCGAGAGCCTGGGTTCGAATGGCGGTTTAGCCGCCGACTGTGGTTGAACCGGGTTCTCTAGCGCAGCGAGTTCGAGGGTCTCGGTTACCGATGCCTCGCACGGAGACCCCTGGAGAGCCCCTGGACCGCTCCCCACCTCAAGAAGTGAACAATCTGGTGAGCGAACACGTGTGAACCTTGCCGAGCGGGCGAGCGAGCGGGCGGGCGGGACCCACCTCCGCCGTTGCGGTAGCACAGGTAGGGGAAGCGCCACACGTTGCCGAGCCCCACCGCGTAGCCCACGCACGACATCAGGAAGTCGAGCTGCCTGCCCCACGTCTGCCGCTCCACCGAACTCCCGACGCCGGCGTCCTTGCCGGCGCCGGCCACATCCCGGGCTCCGGCGCCACCCCCCGCCGCTGCCCCCAGCTCCATCTTCTTTTTCTCCGCGGCGGCCGCGGTGGTGCCGTCGAACATCGGCACACGCACCGACGCCTGCCGGGACTTGCGGTCGCCGTCCATGCCGACGAAGGCGTGGTGGCCGCGGTGGACGCGGTGGCAAGTCACGGCATCTTCGTCGTCGTCCTCCTCGTCGTTGTCGTGGCCGTAGTTGTGGTCGAGGAGGAGAGGGCCCGTGGTGTCCGAGTCTGACTGCGAAGAGCACGGGGAGGGGGACACGTGGCGCTTGGGGGATTCGGGGGAGCCCTCCGACATGGTGTGGGAGCGCGGAGGGTTTCTGCACGCATACGCACGCGCACGCGCACACACGCACACGCACGCACGTGGAAGACGCAGGGTTAGGGTGGGGTCGCGAGTGCCAGACACGTAGCGATGCTGCGCCGAGCGACAGGGAGAGGAACGTGTGGACGAGGGAACGTGCGCGTGGAAAGCGAGCGGACCGGAGCAGCACGCGTCATGGCTACAATTGACGATGCACGGTGGTCGAGACTCGCGACCGAGTGGCAGACGACGGGGAGAGCCAGCCCCTGAGATGACGTCCACCACGGACACGGAGCGGTGGGACCGAGCGTTCGAGGTTGGGGTTAAGCTCAGGGCTAGAGTCAGGGCTCACTCCATGGTCATGCTGGCCTGCCGCGGGCCCGTGTGATTAACAAAGGCGAGACTGCTGATGCAGATTGCGCCTGTGTTGTGTACAAAACATCAACAATGCCACTTTCAGTCATCGCTGGTCTATTAATTTTACGTAGGTTACCCTACGAGGGGTGGGGGTGTGGGGGCAGGGTGGGGGGGCAGTGTCCCAATGCCTAAATATAGCGCTGTGTGTATGATCACGGATAGTTATTGTTAGGGTCTATTGTTAGGGTAAGGGATGGTCCTATTGTTTGGGTCAGGGATGGTCCTATATGTATGGTCAGGGATGGTCCTATTGTTAAGGTGAGGGAGGGTTTTCTTGTTAGCATCACAGATAAATATACATCGGTATGGTCAGAGTTATTGCTATGGCAAAGGTAAGTACGCAGTAAAGATGCCAACGTGAGGAATGTTGGCATGCGGTTGGAAGCGTTGGCCCATCGCCCCATGTTTACTGGAGAGTTCTAATGTTCGGCTCTGGGCTTGGGAATCGCTGTGGGACAGGGGTAGTGGAAAATTCCACGAGGAGAGGAGGCCCGACAGCGCCCCTAGTGGACCCCGCATGTGCAGCACACTGCACGATACGAGAGGGTGGGCGGGAAATCCCTATACCCCCTTTACCTCTGCGACATAATTAGCCTTATACAATAGGGGTATAGGGACTTCCCGTCCGCCCACCCTGTAATGCATGTACACATATTGAGTACCATAAAGTACATAATCGAACAGCTCGTGTACACAGTGTATGCTGCACAACACAATATATAGTACCTCACATACACGGAGTGTGCACGGTGTTATGACAGCTATTTTACTGGGTGGTCGAAAAGTCCCTATACCCCTTTACATCCGCTGGTCCGTACAAACGTATGAGGCGCGGGTATAGCGACATCTCGCCCACTCTGCCGAAGAGTGTATACCATTATGTATAAGTATATACAATACACCACTGCGTTGTATATACACTGCAATGTATTGTATACTGTAATACACTACGTTGAACTGCGTGTACGCAGAGTACGCGTGTGTGCGTGTACACGGCACTGTCCTGTACGATATAAATAATTAGGCGAACGATTGCAATATTACAGTGTGAGATGGAGAGATAAAGGTGGGCGAAATATCACATACCATGTGTTGTGCGACATCCGATATCTCCCACGAGCATTCCACACGGCCCCTCGAGATTCACTCATTCCTCCCATCCATTACATCACTCACTGTGCCTGATGATTCACTAACTCATTCATTCATTCACTGGCCGCCATGGTTCATTCATTAATCTTTCATTCGCTGTGCCCCAGGGATCACTCATTATTTCACCAGATACCAGAGTTCACTCAATCTTTCCTTCATTCATCAGGCCCCACAGTTCACTAATTCAATCATTTGGCACTATGGCTCACCAATTAATTCCTTCATTCATTGGGCTCCATGGTTCACTCTTTCATTCAATGACTGGGCCGCAGGAATCATCCACTAATCAGGTCCCTGAAATTCATTCACCCCAACGTCGCAGGCGGTAGCGTGGGGAGGCCTTCAACCAGCAGTGGAACGCTCATGGCCGCTGCAGCTGCTAATGATCACTGTGCTCATCTTCAGCTCACCCGTCTCAGAGAGTCATATTTCACCCGTGTTTCAATATTTTTAATGTCAACTCAAGTTGGGCCACAATTTCTGGCTGCAGCCTGAATTTTCCGGGCTGGTCCCATTTCGCGATCTAGCCCCGAGTTCCCTACGGTGAGATTAGATTTTGGGGCCGTGCGGAATCGTCACAGCGCGTGCTCCGGGCAAACGCCAACGCGATCAGAAAATGTCATGGGGCGGCGGGAAACATTTAATATTTCATTTCAGTTAAATATTCAACGACAATAACAACCATGGTCTTCACCTTTGACCCGGGAGGGGGGGGGGGGGTCACCGCACCCCTCTCAAACTCCAAAAAATCTTATTAAATCCTTTATATTAAGTTCGCATGCTTGCTTGCTTGCGTGCTTGCTTGCTTGCGTGCTTGCTTGCTTGCTTACGACCGTGCAAATTTTTCGGTCGTTTTTTAACCCACTTCCCGTGATCCAATCGAGCTGACATTTTCCACACAGACTCGTTGTGCCAGACAATTAATGTTCGTAAAAAAAATTCCCAAAATTTTACACTTTTTAGGCAAAAAAAAAATATTTTACATATATTCAAATAGAACTCATTCATCGCTTTGGCTGAACGTCACAGTATAAGAGCCCAGAGCGCAACCCCTCCACAGGCCGTGGCGGAGTAGCGCAGTTGGTAGCACCCTCGCTTCCCATGCCAAAGGTCGCGGGATCGATCCCTGCGTCCTCCACAGGCGAATATATTTTTAAATCCTTTATATTAAGTTCGCTGCCACGCATATAAAGGATTTATAGTGAAAAACTTTGTTTTTACGGGTTATACTTATTCATATTGGCATTGAATATTTGTTTCATGATTGCACATACCAAATAAAAAAGCAATGTTTTGACACATTTATAGATCCACTACTGAATTTGACCAAAGTCTGGCCATCCACTGCTGTAGTAACTCCAGTACTTTCACTCAGAAAATCACGGAAATGCCACTATTATTGTATTACTAATATTAGTTATTTGTAATACTAATTATTATGTTTTTGCCTAGAAACAAGGTGACGTCGCGCACGTCACGCGGCGCTCGCGCTGCTGGGTCGAAACCGCCCGACACCAGCGGTCATCCCTCGGCGATGATCCACCTGTTTGGGGCCCATCGCTCGGCCCGTCTAGACGCGATGGCTGCCCCCCCCTGCCACCCCTCTCCCCCACCCTCCTGGCATCGTTGCTTTCCTAAGACAGGACACCGGTCCAGAGTCCTCGCACCTACCGCTCGGTACGAGTCTCGGAATCCGCCGCATCGATTGCACTCGGGACCGCTGAGTTTGATGTGGCAATACAGGACAGAGGCCAATTTGCCCGTATCGTAAAATACCAATAATTCACAGCCCCTTTGTCAAGCCACTGCTGGACAAAGGCCGTTTCCCATACCATGTGGGTCGTGCGGGTTGTCTTGACCATACTTCACCACGCTAGTTCAGTGCGGGTTGGTGAAGGGTACTGGGAGGGGTGCCGCCTTGACCGCTTCAGATATCTAAACTAAAACTGTAAAATATTTTTATTCTAAGTAAGGCCCATTGAGCTATGCAGCTTTTTTTTAGAAAGCGACCGGGCCCAAGTGATCATTAATCACCATTGGAGACAGATAATACAGGAGGTAAGAATCGCTGCCAAGTTCTGTAAGTTGAATCTCTTCCTATAAACTATTTTTATTTTACCAGATAAAGCCCACTGAGCTGCATAGCTCTTTTTCAGAAGTGACCTGGCCACAAATGATAGCTCAACAAAGTGGGTTATGATGTGGCAATGTATAGTGGCCAAATACTCTAACCGCACGTTGATTCTAAATGTGGAGCGGAACAACTAGAGGAACGGATAAAAATCCACGCATAGTTTAGTTTAGGGAGGAGTGGGAGGCATGCCATCACGACTGGCTCAGCTATCGACCACTGCTGATGTTAGCCGTGGCTATTAGGAAATCGAATGCCAGGTCCTTGGCTCCATCTCCCTCCACCACCTTGCCTGCCCGATCAGGAACTCTCCTCTTTGCATCACTCCCGTCGAGTGGTGCATCTCTCTCTCTCGTTCCGCCTCTCGGCCTCGTTCCCGACACCCGAGCCTTGCAGCTCCCGGTTCTGAGAAGAATGCGGCCGACCCACAACGATCGCCCATTCTGAGTCGCTCCAACCAACCACACTTCGCATCTCCCCAACCTGCTCCACAGCGTCCTCGTCTCGAGCTCTCTGCATCCAACTGGCTGTCTCCATTCGGGGCCCACAACCCACGTCTCCCTTTCTTTGAGTGCAGGTTTCTGCTACATGGTCCAGAGGAGGACCTAGAACTTCCCAAGGAGGGGGGGGGGGGGGAGGTCGTCCCAAAGTCGCAAACGTTTTTAACAGGGCCCTTACATTCGTAATACAATCATTCAATGTATTTTATCTGGTGAATATCAATAAAACACAATTTCGGGGTCGCATGGCAGACTTCAAACCTAAAGACAGACCAAAGTGATTCTAACCAGGGCCACGTCGGCCACATGGGCCACTTGAACGTGACCTGAGCCAGGTTAAGTACCTCCTTGGTGGACAGGTGAGGAGACGGGAAGGTGGAGGATGGTCGTGGCGTCGAGCAGGACACTGGTTTTGAGTTAGGCTGGCAGCTGGGAGCCTAGGCATGGACGTACACACACACACACAGAGAGGTGTCATTTACACAATCACGTGGTATCACCGGCCGTGGTCTATCCACTGCTGGACGAAAGTCTCTCCCAAGCCGCCACTATCTCTCAGAGTCCAGCGATGCGACGGTCCACCGTGCGCCTGCGGTGGACGTTCTGTCGGGCACTGCTCCCTCCTTTGGCCGCCACTCCGGTCTTAGTCTCAGCCTCTGGCGAGTCGTACCTCCTTGCCTTGACGCATGCTGCCAGAGCCCACTCGCCGTGTTTACACTGAACGGTGCCTCTAACTTGCGTATCATCTCTGATCAACACGTTCCTCCTCTTTATATCTCTCGGTCCAATTCAATACCTCTTCCCGTCCACCTCACGCGGATTTCCCTCCATGCAACGCTCCGCTCCAACAGCGGCTGCTCTCTGTGGAAACCCAGCGGTCAGGTTTCACTCAGTGGGAGGTCGCTCATTTTCCTCTGCTGCACCCACAGTCTGGAACAACTTCATTCCCCCAGCGGACCACACTGTCAACTCCCTGCCCCTGTTCAAGTCCAGACTCAATAATTCCTCTTGTCCTTTGCATATGACCGCCTCGCCCTCCCATACTCACAGAGAGATCCATAGACTTACAGAGAGACCCATAGACTTACAGAGAGATCCATAGACTTACAGAGAGACCCATAGACTTACAGAGAGATCCATAGACTTACAGAGAAATCAATTGACTTACAGAGAGATCCATATACTCACAGAGAGATCCATAGACTTACAGAGAGACCCACGGACTAACGTGAGAGACCGACAGACGTACAGACCCATAGACTAACGTAAGAGATCTACGACTATCTAGATTTGAAGGTCTACGACTGCACGTGTTAACACCGCGCGGTATACACAGGGACGTCGTCTACACCCCATGGTATACAGTTACATACTCATACGCCTCGGTTCTTTCGGTAAAGCCACGTAGGTAGTAAGTAATAAGTCACGACGTTTCTATAGCAACACAAGCGACCGTCATCAGGTGAGACAATCACAGCAGGGAAACTGCTGAAGCAGGCGAGAGCGCTGCCGTGACACGAGGCTATATAGGGCAGGGTAAGGGGGCGGGGCTAGAGGTGGGAGAGAGAGGGAGGCGGGGCTAGAGGTGGGGGAGAGAGGGGGCGGGGCTAGAGGTGGGGGAGAGAGGGGGGCGAGGCTAGATATGGGAGAGGGGGGCGGGGCAAGAGATGGGGGAGAGAGGGGGCGGGGCTAGAGATGGGGGAGAGAGGGGGCGGGGCTAGAGATGGGGAAGGGGGGCGGGGTTAGAGATGGGGAAGGGGGGCGGGGCTAGAGATGGGGAAGGGGGGCGGGGCTAGAGATGGGGGAGAGGGGGGCGGGGCTAAAGATGGGGGAGAGAGGGGGGCGGGGCTAGAGATGGGGGAGAGAGGGGGGCGGGGCTAGAGATGGGAGAGAGAGGGGGGCGGGGCTAGAGATGGGTGGCTCGCCAGAGGGAGAGTTTGAGACGAAGATGAGTGACGTGAATATTCACTACACTCGCCTTGTGCCCGTCCTAGGACGGGAGATGTAATATTTACGAAAAAATGTATCAGAGTATATTTTGTGTAAATTTGATGGCAGTGAATCGTGCACAAAACGAAGTCAGGAAACACCTCACTTCATGTCACCACTGTAGCACTGTATGTAAGTGACCTTCAATTTGTTCAAATTCACTGCTCTGATACTTTATTCACTTCTGCTTTCGGTCGCTGGGGTTGAAATTAATTGGAATTCGATACAATATCTGGAAAGTCACCGAGAAATGTCTATTTTACCATAATGTATAAGCATCAATTAGACTAACCTTTTGTCTCAAGTGCTGAAGAAATAAAGATACCAAATCCACGTTGTTGCGGCGTAGAATTATTTATTAGATTCACTTTCAACAAGGAAATGTGAAACTTAAAGCGAATTTGCTAAAAAAATTGTATTTCCGCTCGACCTTCTGTGTGAGTGTAAAAATCCACCCGCTCATGAATATGAATGAGGGGGGGGGGGGGCATGTGGAGTGACGTCACGCGCGTTACACACAAACATACATTCTTGGCTAATGTAATGGTATAGTGACATATACACTGCATCAGATAAATGTTTTTATACACTACACAGTATACAGTTGCATATTCATTACACGGTATACATGGTGACATGTACACTACATTGTATAAATGTTTTTGTACACGACATTGTATTAATGTACACAGACACTACATTGTATTAATGTTTATGTACACTACATTGTCAAGCCTGTGACAGGCTGCAGGGGCAAGTGCTGTTAGCGAGTAGCAGCACCTATGAAGGCCGGCACGGCACACGAGGGAGTCGGTGGCCAGCACCACGCCCGGCCGCCTTTGTCTCCCCAGTGGCGATGTTTACACCGCACCAGGGAATAATTTGAGACGGAGTCGACTTAGGGGAGTTCCGGGACCTGTACAGATTTGGCCGTGAGAGGGAATCGAACTCGGGTCGCCGGGTTCGTAGTGCAGCGCAAACCGCTACACTACCGCTCTCCTACACACACATACACTGGCACACACACGTGCACACTGTCACACACGTGTACACTATCATACACACGTGTATCCTGACACAACAACAGCACAACAACCGCCATTCGCTACTAAGTGGCGGTGACGTCACCACGACGCTTGTGCCAGGCCATGTGCACCTTGAGGCCACGTGAAGTGTTGAACGCCCGCTGGCAGGAGGTCACGGGTCAGACCCAGGTGCCACGGGTCGACTGACTGAGATGGCCGAGATGACTGGCTGATGCACCACCTGTGCCCCCTACTGTGCCAACTTGCTGTGCTTTAGCGCTCCGCTCGTTGTTGTGAGCGTCGCTCCTCCACCCTCCGTTGTTGCTGGTGGGCGACTGACTCCAACTGCCCAGTAGCGTCCTTCACGAGCCTCGACCACAGAGGCCGATCTTGCCACCGATGGTACCAGTCATTGGCAAGTCCACTCAGCTCCAAGTCCTCCTGTACCACATCACTCCATCTCTTCTCTAGCCCGTGCCGCGCCCGTTTAGCCCCCTCGATCCGGCCGAACAAAAGCTGTTTCGGCATGCGGTGGCTGGGCATGCGGGCTACATGACCCAGCCAACGCAGCTTTGCCAGCCGGAGGAGCACACCGATGGGACTTTGCCCAGATCTTTCAATGATTTGTGAGTTCCTCACACAATCCAGCCTGGTTAAACCCAGGATGGATGGTAAGCAGGCCAGCCTAAATGTTTCCAACCGGCGAAGATGCTCCATCCATTAGGGGGGTCCACGTTTCGCAAGCATAGAGAAGGGAGGGAATGACTGTAGCCGAGAAGACTTGAAGCTTCGTGCGGAGCGACAGACCAGGTAGCTTCCACACAGCATTACGCAACCGATGAAAAGATATTGCCGCTCGACTGATTCGGAGTGAGACCAACTGCTGTTAAACTGGAGCCGGTCATAAGCACACTGCCCAGGTATGGGAAACTCTCCACTCTCTTCACTACTGCCCCATCACCGATTGGGAGTTGTGGGGGTGGAGAATCCGATGGTACAAAATACCCAGGCAGGTGCTTAGTTTTGGTAGGGCTGATGGTAAGGCCCCACCTCTTAGTGGCACGCTCCAGCCTCAGCAGCAGCGTCTCCAACTCCTCCTCTGAATGAGCAGCTATTACCAAATCATCGGCATACATAACATGGTTGACCAATAGGGCGCCATCCCTTGATCGCACCCGGGCATCGATCAGCCTCCCATTATATCTGTACCAAATGGAGATTCCCCCGGTACAACTATTGAAGGCTTCACGAACTACGTGGTCAAAATATATTTAAATAATGTGGGAGCCAGAGGACATCCCTGTCGCACCCCAAGGTGTACAGGGAAAAGCTCTGACTCCCGGCCACGTAGTTTAACCCGGGCCCGCTCACCATCATGAAGGTCCTTAATGATCGTGAGCAGAGGGTCAGGGACTCCGGAAGCACGAAGAACAACCCAGAGCCCAGGCCTACTGATGGCATCATAGGCCTTGACCAGGTCAATAAAGCAGAGATGTAGGTCTTGTTGAAATTCCCTACACCTCTGCTGTAGCAGACGGACAGAAAATATGGCATCTGTGCAGGACCGCCCTTTCCTGAAACCGCATTGGGGCTCCGCAAGCCTCTCCTCAGCGTGCCTAGCAAGGCGATGTTGAATAATCCTTGCCAGGACCTTTCCCGGCACACTGAGGAGTGAGATGCCCCTGTAGTTGTTACAGTCTGTGCGGTCCCCCTTCTTAAAGAGGGGGACTACCAGGGCATCCTTCCAATCCTGCGGAACCCGTTCAGCGGTCCAGACTGCTGTTATGATGTCATATAGGGCAGTCTGTGCACAAACGCCACCCTCCCTCAGCATTTCGCTTGGGAGATCATCTCTGCCCGGTGCCTTTCCCGGTCTCAGACTCCGGATCGCCTTCAGTACTTCCTCAACAGATGGCACCTCAACCAGCCACTCACAGCGGGCAACCTCTTCCAATATTTGAGGCACCGCAGCCTCAGCAGGGTCATCCCCACTTTGTGCCATGATGTTTTCCTGGCTGAGGGATTTCCCCTCCCCCAGGACCTCACAGAAATGCTCAGCACATCTGCAAACCTGTTCCTGTGGGTCGGAGAATGGATCACCGTTTTTTCCCCTAATGATGGTAATAGGTCTGGCGCTGCAGGTTACTTTTTGATGGAGTTAAATAGTGATTTGTGATCGCTTGCCACTGAGGCAGATTCCATCTCCTCAGCAATCCGCGACCACCACCCATCCTTGCAGCGCCTTACGGCTCTCCGAACCTCCGAGCGAAGGCTGCGGTAATCCTCCTCATTCTCTGACGTGGGATGCTGTAGCCGATGAGAGTGGGCCTGTCGCTTTTTCTCAACTATCCTGAACACCTCCTCTGTCAGCCAGGGTCTCTGGGGAGGTCTGGACCACGTACCCAAAGCAGCCATTGCAGCTGCATGAGTCACAGTCCTAAACCTCGCCCATTTACCCTCGACATCAGGAGGAGTGGGGGACGATGCCAACCCCCGCTGCAAGCGATGATTAAATTCTCGCTTGCAACTTTCATCAGCTGAGACCAGGCCACTTTAGGTTGGAATGGGATCCTGGGTGTACACCCACCACCGGAGTGGAAGAATGGCAGGCGCATCTTACAGATGACAAGTCGATGGCCAGAGGGCACATCAGCTCCACGGTAGGTCCTGGTGTCAAGGACATGGGCTCGCATCCGCTAATCCGTCACTATGTAGTCCAGCAGATGTTCTTGCTTGGACCCGGCATGCATCCATGATGTTGTGTGGATGCGCCGATGCCGGAAGAGCGTGTTGGTAATTACAAGCCCATGGGCTGCACAAAAATCTAGCAGCCTCCTACCGTTGTTATTGAGCTGATCTGGCCCATGCCTTCCAATAACTCCAGACCAGGTGCCAGCATCATGACCAACTCGGGCATTGAAGTCACCCAACAAGATGACTCTGTCCCGAGTGGCCACTTTAGCCAATCCTGACACATACACTGTCACACACACGTGCACACTGTCACACACACACGTGTATCCTGACACACACGTGCACACTGTTACACACACACGTGTATCCTGACACATACACTGCTGCTACATATCACACACCCCACGCTTTCACATCGGTAACACACCTGGTGGGAACGATGCCGCTGACGACAATGCCGTTGCTTGGTGGCTGCTGCTGCTGCTGATGATGATGCTGCTGCTGATGCTGCTGATGATGATGCTGATGCTGCTGATCGCGACGCAAATGACTTCACACCGCTGCAGGTGGACACAGAGCCTGATGAGTGTCACCAGCAGCAATTGGAGTGAGGGTGCAGCAGCAGTAGTTGTAGTGAGTGTGGTGTGGTGGGCTACACCCGGAGATGGCTCAGTGAGTGGGGAGCGCGCGGCGGGGGGGGGGAGGAAATACCCCGCCCACAGTCCCAGCCCCCCCCACCACCCCCCACGGTCCCAGCCCCCCCACCAGCCCCCACCCCCCGAATGGAAAATTACCCCGCGCAGGCCTCCTCCTCCTCTGTGCGGGGCGCAGCGCCCCCTAGCGGACGGCTCCCCTCGCCCCCTGCGGAGCCCGCGGCTGTGACGAATGATTCTTTAATAGTAATGATTGGTGGTGGTGGTAATTGGTGGTTATTGACCGTTATGGTGGTGATGATTGGAGGTGGTGCTGCTGATGATCATTATTTATGGTAGTGACAGCGATGGTTGATGGTGATAACTGATGGAGGTTGGTGATTGATGGTTGTGATGATACCGATGTTATTGATGTTTACTGGTGCCGATGGTTATTGGTGCCGATGATTATTGGTGCCGATGATTGTTGGTGGTGATGATGATTGGCATTGGTGGTGAAGGTTATTGATGATGAATGTGATGACGTTAGTGATGTGTACTGACGCTGCTGTTGAAGAGTGAAGGTGGTGGCGAGGGTGAGGATTCATGGTCGTGATCGTGATATTGACGTCTCCTGGCGCTGCTGCTGATTATTGATGGCGGTGTCGATGATGGTGATACTAATGTTTACTGATGATTATTATTGTTGATGGTTACTGATAGTTACTGATGCAGCTGAGGTTGATGGTGCTGCTTACTGATGATTATCACGATGATAAATGATTCTTGATGGTGGTGATGCTGATGGTGTTCTTTGTCACTGCGAGAGATGGTGATGCTGATGTTAAGAGAGTTATCCTGCTGCTGATATTGATGTAATCGATATACTCACTGGAGCTGCTGCTGCTGATAATGACGCTGCTGCCGGCGTTTGCTGCTGATGGCTGGTCGATCTTTTCCAATCAACCGACTATATAATCCACGATCTCCTGATCACATTAACACCGATGTATAAAGGGTATGTACACACACTGCATGTATACTGCCCGTGTTATGTACGTGTGCAACGCTCCATATACATACGATGTAGCAATGTGTGTCTACGTTTGTTATGGTGTGCGCACTGCAGTATAAGGGTTTTCTCTAATTATAGCCGGGGGTATCGCTTCAGTGATACCTAATTTAATAAATAATGTGTGCCGAGAATTATATAACTGTGTGCTGCAGTAAAAGGATCTCGGTGTATATAATACGATCTGTGTGTGTGTTATGCTACGGTATAAATGTGTCCATACAACACTATTAACTATGTCGACTATGTTATCCTAAATCTTCTGTACATACAAGCAGGTACAATTACACGTTCCGTTGTGTTGCTGACGTCGAAATTAAAATATTATGCCAATTCCATCGGCCGTTTGGTTTTCCAGCCCAATATGACCCAGCTCACTGTGTGTACTGCGGTATTAAGGTCTCTGTGTCACACGATCACTGTACTGTATATGTGTTTATTGCATACTAAAGGTAACAATGTGTATATGATTGTGTGTACTACAGTGTTTAAGGGTATCTGTGTAACAATAAATATATCTGCGTGTACTGCAGCATAATAAGGGTGTTTCTGTTGATCCAACACGATCTCTCTGTACGTGTGCACTGCGCTGGCGATCTCTGTGTAATAACCTGAACGCGCCCACCACTCTCTGTGTCCTGCAGCATCAGGATCTCTGTCCCAGCCTCCCTCCTTACCGCACCTCTCCCTGCCTTTTAACATCCCGTTTACGCGTCGGGGGAGGAGGCTGGCTGGCTGGGTGGGGGGTTGTTGTTGATGATGATGGTGATGGGGGATGGAGTAAAAGGCAGTATAAGTTGTTATTGGGGTTCGCTTTAATACTATTAAACAGTTGCAAAACAAAACGCTTGGCAGGGTGGACTGGAGGTGGAGACAACGGAGGGGTGTGTGTGCCCGTGCTGCGTGTGTGTCTGGAGTGTGTGTGTGTGCCTGGAGTGTGTGTGTGTGTGTGTGCCTGGAGTGTGTGTGTGTGCCTGGAGAGTGTGTGTGCCTGGAGTGTGTGTGTGTGTGCCTGGAGTGTGTGCCTGGAGTGTGTGTGTGTTCCTGGAGTGTGTGTGTGTGTGCCTGGAGTGTGTGTGTGTGTGTGCCTGGAGTGTGTGTGTGTGCCTGGAGTGTGTGTGTGCCTGGAGTGTGTGTGTGCCTGGAGTGTGTGTGTGCCTGGAGTGTGTGTGTGTGTGTGCCTGGATTGTGTGTGTGTGCCTGGAGTGTGTGTGTGTGTGCCTGGAGTGTGTGTGTGTGTGTGTGCCTGGAGTGTGTGTGTGCCTGGAGTGTGTGTGTGCCTGGAGTGTGTGTGTGCCTGGAGTGTGTGTGTGTGTGTGTGCCTGGATTGTGTGTGTGTGTGCCTGGAGTGTGTGTGTGTGTGTGCCTGGAGTGTGTGTGTGTGTGTGTGCCTGGAGTGTGTGTGTGCCTGGAGTGTGTGTGTGTGCCTGGAGTGTGTATGTGTGTGTGCCTGGAGTGTGTGTGTGTGTGCCTGAAGTGTGTGTGCCTGGAGGGTGTGTGTGCCTGGAGTGTGTGTGTGTGTCTGGAGTGTGTGTGTGTGCCTGGAGTGTGTGTGTGTGTGTGCCTGGAATGTGTGTGTGTGCCTGGAGTGTGTGTGTGTGCCTGGAGTGTGTGTGTGTGCCTGGAGTGTGTGTGTGTGCCTGGAGTGTGTGTGTGCCTGGAGTGTGAGTGTGTGTGTGCCTGGGGTGTGTGTGTGTGCCTGGAGTGTGTGTGTGTGCCTGGAGTGTGTGTGTGTGCCTGGAGTGTGTGTGTGCCTGGAGTGTGTGTGTGTGCCTGGAGTGTGTGTGTGTGCCTGGAGTGTGTGTGTGCCTGGAGTGTGTGTGTGCCTGGAGTGTGAGTGTGTGTGTGCCTGGAGTGTGTGTGTGTGCCTGGAGTGTGTGTGTGTGCCTGGAGTGTGTGTGTGTGCCTGGAGTGTGTGTGTGCCTGGAGTGTGTGTGTGTGCCTGGAGTGTGTGTGTGTGCCTGGAGTGTGTGTGTGTGTCTAGAGTGTGTGTGTGTGCCTGGAGTGTGTGTGTGTGCCTGGAGTGTGTGTGTGTGCCTGGAGTGTGTGTGTGTGTGCCTGGAGTGTGTGTGTGCCTGGAGTGTGTGTGTGTGCCTGGAGTGTGTGTGTGTGTGCCTGGTGTGTGTGTGTGTGTGTGCCTGGTGTTGTGTGTGTGTGTGTGTGCCTGGAGTGTGTGTGTGTGTGGCTGGAGTGTGTGTGTGTCTGGAGTGTGTGTGTGTGTGCCTGGAGTGTGTGTGTGTGCCTGGAGTGTGGGTGTGTGCCTGGAGTGTGTGTGTGTGCCTGGAGTGTGTATGTGTGTGTGCCTGGAGTGTGTGCCTGAAGTGTGTGTGCCTGGAGTGTGTGTGTGTGTGCCTGGAGTGTGTGTGCCTGGAGTGTGTGTGTGTGCCTGGAGTGTGTGTGTGTGTGTGCCTGGAGTGTGTGTGTGTGCCTGGAGTGTGTGTGTGTGCCTGGAGTGTGTATGTGTGTGTGCCTGGAGTGTGTGTGTGTGCCTGGAGTGTGAATGTGTGTGCCTGGAGTGTGTGTGTGTGTGTCTGGAGTGTGTGTGTGTGTGTGTGCCTGGAGTGTGTGTGTGTGCTGTATGTGTGCCTGGAGTGTGTGTGGGTGTACTTGCACGTGTGTCTGGAGTGTGTGTGTCGGTTATACACATTCAGGCTATGCTGCCTACGATCTATCCTAGATTAAACCAGTCTGGATTGTGTGAGCTCACAAATCCTTGCAAGATCTGAACACATTCCCATCGGTGCACTCTTTCGACAGGCAAGGCTGCGTTTTCTGGGTATGTAGCACGCATGCCCGACCACTGCATGCCTAAACAGCTTTTGTTTGGCCGTATCGAGGGGGCTAAACGGGCGCGGCACTTGCTCGAGAAGGGATGCAGTGATGTGGTACAGGTGGATGTGGAGGTGTGTGGACTTGTCGATGACTGATAGCAGTCATCGGCATCTATAGAGGAGGCTCGTGAAGGACGCTACTGGGCAGTTGGAGCCAGTTGCCCTCCAACAGCGGAGGCCAGGGCACCAATGCTCACAACAAAGAGTGGAGCGCTGGGCGGCTAAAGAACAGCAAGTTGGCATCTGTCAGTCATCTCAGTCAACCCATGACACCTGGGTCTGGCCCGTGACCTGCCAGCGAGCCTTAGACACTTCACGTGGCCTCAAAGTGCACATAGCCTGTCACAAGCGCCGTAGTGACGTCACTGCCACGTAGAATCAGAGATTGTATTTATTCTGGAGGAATTGGATGAGCTATGAAGCTCTTTTTCTACAGATGTCCAGTAGGGGCGGGTGATCGAGTTGGATAAACAATACAAGAAACGATATGAACGAGATAAAGAAGGTAGTAAGCAAGTCGCTAAACATATGAGTATTAAAATACAAATTGCACAAGTACATCCATTCCTGCAGTTTCTTAACACAAAATGTCGGCTTGGACAAGGCAGTAAATTCAACATAAAAACAATCCGAGACCACACGAAGACAACACATGCACTCTATGTTGAACTTCTTTCGCACAGGCCGTAGCCAACCCTGCTAATCGAAGGACAAGCGACTAAACACAACAATGAGTTCTAACTCATGAGTTTTTCGATCTCGATTTAAAAGTGCATAGCTCCAGTGGCTTCCTAATAAAACTATAATGTGGCTGTATCTGACATTCTGCTTCAGGATATTCTTTGAAGGAAATTTGACAATGTCAAGGGAGGAAACGAGGTTGTTCCAAAGGGTTGGTACTGCAACAGGCAAAACGTTGTGTCACCTACTCCAATTCTTGTTCTATGGTTAGTTAAAGAGCAATTAGATGGACGTCTTGGGCTTCTTTGGTTTGGCAATGAGGTTAATGAATAATTTGCTGATTAAATTAAAACTGCCTCAGTAGCACGTGATAACAAATCACTTTTAACACAGTATAACAATAACATGGTTTACCCTTACTAGCAATGAAACAGCTGTTAAGATGTTCAAACACCAAACATAAACTTTTTGCTTTAAAGACCATTACAAAAGACACTTGCGGCGCCACACCAGTCATCATCTTTAAGGTAAAAAAAACGGTAAACCGATCTCGGACCCCCAAAGAATGGGTTCGCAAGTTTCCTAAGAGTTTCCGTGAGGTCTCGGGGGAAGGGGAAACCTCTCAGCTCAACCAGCATCATCGGGCAAGGTGGGGTTGACCCGATCTGGTGCTGCTGTGCCTCGAACATTTGAAGGAAGTCGCGACTCCTTGTGAGTGGTTGGCTGAGGTTGCCATCCCGTGATGCAGTGCGAAGGGTGATCCGGAACTTGAAACGAGGGAAAGCTTCGGGGAGAAATGGTCGCTCAAGCGAATGACCTCTTAAGCGAATGGCCTCTCAAGCGAACGACCTCTCAAGCGAATGACCTCTTAAGCGAATGGCCTCTCAAGCGAATGACCTCTCAAGCGAATGACCTCTCAAGCGAATGACCTCTCAAGCAAATGACCTCTCAAGCGAATGACCTCTCAAGCAAATGACCTCTCAAGCGAATGACCTCTCAAGCAAATGGCCTCTCAAGCGAATGACCTCTTAAGCGAATGACCTCTCAAGCGAATGGCCTCTTAAGCGAATGGCCTCTCAAGCGAATGACCTCTCAAGCGAATGACCTCTCAAGCGAATGACCTCTCAAGCGAATGACCTCTCAAGCGAATGACCTCTCAAGCGAATGACCTCTCAAGCGAATGGCCTCTCAAGCGAATGACCTCTTAAGCGAATGGCCTCTCAAGCGAATGACCTCTCAAGCGAATGACCTCTTAAGCGAATGGCCTCTCAAGCGAATGACCTCTCAAGCGAATGACCTCTCAAGCGAATGACCTCTCAAGCGAATGGCCTCTCAAGCGAATGGCCGCCGAGGGAGGATGGCGTTTGTGTGCAGACTTCCCGATATGACATCGCACCGAAGACGCGAATTGCATCGCGCCTTTTCAGATGCACTTCTGCGGCCGTCTGGAACGCTGTTCCTTCTGACATTTGGAAATCACTGCAGCTATGCACTTTTAAATCATTTCGATTAAAAACTCATTCCCTTGGAACTGCTGTTCGTGTTGTTTGTTGTCCTTCCCCTGCACCTTGGCTACGTAATGTGCTAAAGAAGTTCAACATACACACCTTGCACCAGGCACTCAAATGAGTACCTGGTGCAATGTGTAAACATTGCGACTCGGGAGACAAAAGTGTCCGGGCGTGGTGCTGGCCACACACCCCCTCGTGTGCCCTTCATAGGTGCTCCCTTACAGCACGTGCCTCACCAGTCTGTTAAGATTATACGGGGGATCTTTATCGAAAAATGTGGGGAGTGGTTAACACTGATTAGCACTACCAACCCAGCCACGGTTAACATTAGTGACGAGTCATATCCGAACCCAGTCTTGGCCCCTCCCTTAGGTCGACTCAGTCTTCAATTAGTAGATGGTGTGGTATGTCAACATCAGCACTTGGAAAACAGAGTTGGGCGGGCGTGATTCTCGTGACACCACCCACTCGTGCGATGCACTGACTTTAATAGGTGCTCACTAACAGCAGTTGCCCTCACAGTCATGTAGTTATCCGTATCATGTATTACATAATCTTGCCTGTAAACATTTGGCAGTTCATCAACATCTGGCAGTTCATTCGTTCAAACAAGTGCGACTGCTGCTAAT